CACGATGCTCGAAGAGGATTCGGTTCGGGTGCCGAGGAACTTTCGAGCGAAAGTGACGCTTCTTCGTCGGGCGGAAAGCTAAAGACTTTCGTTCGGTCTCTCCTTATCATACATCGTCCCACTTTGGAGCTTGAATTCGTCTTTCGTCCCGAAAGGCCTAAATAATTCGAGGCTCAATCTTGAAATTCCAACTTAAAATTCCGATTGACGAGCTGGTCACGCTTACGTGTGTGTGTGTGTGTGTGTGTGTGTGTGTGTGCGCGCGCGCGCGAACACCTGAATATTTCGAACGCCGGGGAAAAAAGTTACACGCAATTTGCCCGCTCGCTCGCCACGGTCGCTTACGCGCGTTTAAAAGAAAAGAAGAAAAGATAATATCGTTCAAGTAGCGCGTGGAGTGAAAGTTTCGAACGTTACGACTGCGCGAGTCTCGCCGTCGATACCTGTTTTGCGTTCCACACAATTAATGTCGTTTCGCGTGTATGTATGACGTATCGCAGTCCGATTCGTTCCACATAACTCGCCCGGTATTTCCCCTGTGAATAAGTTGAGTGTGTGTATTTATTTATTTATTTAGTTATTTATTTCACTTCATCTTATTTTTCTTCCGTCACGCTCTCAGATACACCTCTCAGACACGCGCGTGTTCCCGCCTCCTTCGTTTCGTCTCTTCTTTTTCGTTCAAAGCTGAGAATTGTCCGAGACACTGGGCGCGAGATTGAGATTATTATTCATGCGTGTTTGAAATGTCGCGCGAGCGAAATGAAAATCAGTAAACGTCTCGGTTTCTCCTTCTACCGCCGTTAAGTTCCTCTCTGTGCGTCGAGCGGCTGGAAAGTGATCGGCGGCCCGTGATGAAATGATATTAAATTACATCTTTTTCAGTGGACATCGCTCGTTGCACTTTCGCTCGGAAACTCTTCCTCGATTTATGAAGCGTGCGATACCGAATTCGACGCGCGCTCCAGCACAAACGGCACAAAAGAGTGCTGTCCTTTTTCCTTGCGTTACGCTTAAGCCCACTAGAAAGGAAAGCAATTACAGTCCATGCGCTCCGTTACTATTCCGAATGAAAGAAAGAAAGAAAACGCGCTATATATAGTTCATGCTCTTGCGAGCACGAAAAGAAGAAGGATTTATCTTGGCGAATCTCCTCCCGAGGCGTATCGAAGGGCATTGCTTTAAAGTGGAACGAGCGAGCGGCGGGTTAAGTCGCGGTTTTACACTCGGCCAAGTAATTTTGTAAGTTAAGGTAAACGTCCTAATGGCCGGATACGTCCCAGTATCCGGCCACTTTGAAAAAAAATACTTACTATTTATTTTAACAACAATGAATGAAAGTAATAATTATTGTAAAAAGAACTCCAATATTTCACAATTAGTTGAAAAAAATATACCCAATTTGATATGTTAAGTATTAAGATAAAAATTAATTAAATAAATATGCACCCATGGTTTGGCAAAATAATGGTCAATCGTTCATAAATTCATTAAGAGGTAGCATCTATATTTATATTATTTCCCGTTAGCACATACTAATTTTCTAATTGCGGTCAAACATTGGGACAAATTATATCCGAACATAATCTATTTCAATCTAATGTCTAATCACTGGTACATTAATGCACTTTATTACTTGCGTAAATATTTCATTAATAACAGATATATACATTGGTTTAAATCATTTTTTTCCACTTAAGGGAATCTTAAGTTTCCGAATAAATGCAAATATTTATATCAAAATTCTATTCTTAATATTGTATATTGTATTTTTTGTGACGACCTACGTTTAAATGGGAACTGGATCGCAAGTAAATTTGTGCGATTCTCGCGCAGATGTCAGTCTAGAAAGAAATTCCGTAGACGCTAGTGTCGCGTTTTCGAGTGACTTTTCGCAACCTTGTGTCTACAGATGAGGCAATGCAGGATGTGAGAGAAAAAGGATACGAAATTACAAGCGACTGCTCGGAGCATCTTCGTTCAATCTGCCGATGTAAAAGAGAGAGACAATTTGAGCCGATGAAGACGCTCCGAAGGGATATTTTTCTGCCGGAGAAGTGTGTCGTCGAGAATTACGCGGAGATTCCGTCTCTTAATTAATTACAATAGCGTTTCACGCAACATTTATTTCAGGCTCGCGGTATTTAGGTGAGGATATTTAAAGATACCGTTCACTTTTTCATTGCTCGGCGTTATTATCGCACCGCTTGAAATTTGCCTGTATAACCCGCGTATAATGTGGTGTAATTTCTTTACGAGTGGAAGCGCGTTTATCGACGCGCTGCTTTACGAGACGTCGTTAAAAATGCGCCGTCGAAATCCGCTTCCTGGTCGCGAGTGAGTCTACCCTAAAATATACACATACCGCTGTCTTCGATGAAAATAAGTCCGCGAGATGTATGCGCATGTGTAGCTAATGAAAAATTTGTCACGAAGACATAAACGCGATGTTATTTATAGGACATTAATAATCTCTAGAGTCAATCAGCGATACCCAAGTGGGTCCTGTTTATTATGTTATTTTGTGTGCGCAGATGGCAACAAATCTGAAAATGTGTTTCACGTAATGAGACTTCAAGAATAATTTTTCCTCATAAATATGTTATAGTTTTCAAATATTTATAATCCAACAAAGATAGACTTGTGAGAACGGATTTCTAACGAAAAAATTTTTTGTACGATAAATTTGTATATCACATATTTTTTTATTTTTAGCAACAAGCGCTTTATTTAATCTTACTAATCAAACGAAAAATATAATACTTCCCGACGATAAATTTTCTTTCTAAAATAAATAATGTTAACAGATATTCTTTTAACTCATTCTATAATTCTGACTTTACGATCGAGAATTTTGATAAGCTAAAAAGAAAAGAAAAACACGCGATCAAAGATGAGATCCGATCGCGTATTGGTCGAAGAGAAAATCGCAATTAATGAAGGAATCTTATTACATGGACGCTAATTGAATGCACGCTAATCGCGACTATCTTCTGTAATTAAAGAAATGATGTTGTAAACTATGTCGGTCGTAACGAATATGTACTGCGATTCGTTTGAGCGCAAGAGAATATATTTTCATCTCCAGCAGAACAGCCGTACGTCCCGAATCCGTTAACCAAATTGTGTCTATTGAACCAAACGATTGCACAGGTGCGTTATCCGTTTCGCTTTACTACTGCTTCCATCGTCGACGGACAAATACCACTGTGACGTAAACAGCACAGTTCGGACGAAAGATTCGAACAAGTTCGTGCGACCGAAATGGCAACATTCGAGCTCTAATCTGAGTTTGAATGAAACCACCGACCGATTATTTGTTCGAGAGATTCGCAATGTCTCGCAATCCTCCTGTTTCGACAGTTTGTGCGGCGAAAGGAAAATTTAAATACGCAGAAATATTAGATAAATATTTGCTGCAAATAGAAAATAAAATGCTAATAGTAATGCGCGCGATCTCCAAATTTTAACGAGAGTGTAATAATGTTTTAAGCGATGTACAAGTGATCTCGTGGACAATTTCCGAGATCTTTCCCTCTTTCATATTTCATAAAATAAAATAAAATAAAATCTTCCCGAAAAGCGCAAGCACATTTAATGTTCTCTAATAGATGCTCATTTTGTTGCGACATTTCTGCAGATACTACACATCCATCTTCGTCTTAACTATGGTGCGGTATGTCGCACTCTCACGAAAAAATGAGCTCAGCTCGTATCCTGATTTTTATAGCGCGAAGCATCATGCATTCGGATAACCGTGATAACTCATTGTTCGCATCGTTAGGACCGCGCTGAGTCGCGCCGTTCCGTGCGGTCCCAGTTAATTATGAATAATATAATTAGGCGGAATTCCCATGGTTTCCCTTTTGTGAGATCGACGATGAGGTGGAAAGAGCGAACAACCGGCCGGCGAAGCGACGACTCGACGTGGCTGCGAGAGAGACTTGAGTGTCGACTACGAGCAATGTGATTGAAATAATGGCTCGTGTGAAATTTAAAATCGTGTCAGCCGTATGTGTAATCGTGATGTAATTCCTAAGTGTGTTACTGCATTGCTGTTACCGTACGCATCTTATTCGGAACATTCGAAATTATTCCATCACTTATTTATATATATATATATATATATATATATATAATGTATAATATATAATGTAATAATACATATATATATATATGTATATATATAAATACATATATATAATAATATATATATAATTGATTCTACTTGTTACTCTGCTTTTTTATTTTCAATTTTATAATTTTAAATGCTACTTCAAACTTGTTAGTTTCTCTGCTATTAATAACAATTATTAAACTATATGTAAACTTAATTTTTATTAATTATTGTTCTGTACACGAATGTGTGCGTATATATGTGTGTGCATACATATAATAAAAATTAATAAAGTAATATCTTTCTAATATATGTGTAAGGCTCATTAATTTTTACTAATTATTTTTTACTATCTTGATACGATGCATTTTGATTTAATATATTTCAACATTACTTTTAGTCATTCAGAATTTTATCATTAAGGAAAATTAGCTCTAGATCGATTAAAGAAACTACCATTAAGAAATAATGAGTGTGAAAGTGCATGTCGAAAAATCGAGATTTATAGTTATCTCGATAATGACTTAGGATAGCTATTTGTCTCTCATTTAGTTACATTCTCTTAACAAACAATTAAATAGCGTAATAGTTTCCAGAAATTTTCAATGCATTGATCATAAAATATTCTTCATACATACAGTCATTCATTCCTGAAAAATCTGACCTTTTCACCTGTGAGAATTGAACAAACGATCATCCATATGTCCAATATTGTGCCAAGCTTGAAAAATCGTGGAAAACTTGCTTAGACATTGTTCAAATGGTTTCGATATCAACGATACCAAGGATCAAGCAATCAGAATAACTATGCGCGCAAGAAAGGAGCATAAAATCTCGAGCAACGGTAGTAATCGTAGGAATTCCTTTCGCTGGTCTCTCTCACCTGATGGCCAATCCGACAAAAATGATCTATTCAATAAAGAATCCGCTGAATCATCCTCATTGATCTTTCTTGCTTAAGTCGATATTGTTTATTTCCTTCTTCTTTCTTTCAATTACACAACGTCGGGTCACGGTATCACAATATCTGCTGCAATGTACTGCTTTTTCTATTGGTCGGGCACAATCGAACGATTCGACGAATAATCACCTGGATCCTTTTCGATCGAGCGATCACGAAGAACTGAGCGCTGAATATATCTCACCGGTCGGCGACGTTTCACGTCGCTGACGCGCTTCTAGTCGTAGCAAGTCCAATCGGAGCCCCCGGTCTAATCACCTTTACAGGCTGAGATTTTTATCTAAATGGAAATTTCAACGATATGTATAAATAACAAACTTTTAATGGTATTCTGATTGATAAAACGCTTCGATTTATAAGAGTGAAAACTACATCATCGGCATTATAGATTTTTGTTGCCTCATACAATTCAACTCTAAATTGAAGGTCATTTCTTTTGATTATGAAATTGAAGTTGAAAATGTGAAAATGTTGAAAATGTGAAACGATTGTTATTTCTTATTTAATTCGATATATTTTACAGAGAATAACCACAGAATCATTTGTAGTACACACACAATCATCTAGTACATAAGGTTGCATAAATACTTAAATATTTATTTACCTTTTCCTTAAAATATGTGCTTTCAGTTTTTACGTTACAAATTCTTCCCGAACAATAAGCTAAATTTTATGGAAACTGATAAAAGGCAGATTTTAACTGAGACTTGAACCACTTTTTACCAGCCTCCAAAAAGTTTAGTCGAGATTCGAACCGTCATTTTGGCGAGAGTGATTAATGTTAGGTTACTAGATTTATAATCGAAACCACGTCGATTGAGTCATCGATAGATATCGATAACGCCATTGACAATTTTAAGTAGTAAGCTCCGCCCTTAATCCTTTCGTAGGATTGTTCTGCATTTCAAGCGCACATGGATTATGTTATCAAATGGGCGAGGTTAATATATCGAATTTGCGGGCAATTTTACGATAAAATTCATTGTAAGATCTTGTACGTAAGATCGCCTTGAAATGTTGCAAGGATTGTTTTATTGGTTACATAATATTTTAAGATAGACTCGGGACGATCAGTGGAACAAATTTTAAGGATACTACCTTTATATATACATATATATATATATATATATATATAAACTGAAGAATGTATGTATGTGCATATGCATGCCATTCAATGTGACTGACTCCATGAATGCCAGTACATACGCATACGTACGGCAAGTCTGGTAAGTCAATGGGTTAAATGCTGCTTTTATATCGTACGCGTACCGCACTCTACTTTTCGTCTTTATTGCATGCGTACGCCACGTACGTCGAGTCACGTACAATTGTGATACATTCGCATATATACAAAATAAGTGATAATAGTAATAGGCGGAATGTGATAGGGAGTAAAACACACACGGAGAAAGTAAGAAAGAGAGAGAGAGAGAGAGAGAGGGAGAAAGGGAGAGAGAAAGAAGGAGGACAGAGAAGAAAAGAGAGAAAGCATAGAGGAGTGAAAGAGGGAGTGAGGATAGGAAAGGAGAGGAGGAGGAGAGAGAGAGAGATAGAGCGAGAGAGAAAGAGAGAGGAGGACGGCTAGCCATCTTGGATAAGAGACATGTCGCTTTGGAGCAAACGTCAACAGCGGTATAGTGTTTACCGCATGATACATACATTTGTCAGCTCGTTATAAGAACCGGCTGACACGGCTATCGACGACGACGTCGCCTACGACGACGACGACGACGACGACGACGACGACAATAACGACGACGACAACGACGACGACGACGACGACGGTGGTGGTGGTGAGAATCGCGTCGTCGCACGTAGCGTACGGCTGACGCGGTGGTGTATCCGTACTGTCCGCCACGCGGACGTACTTCCGAAATTGTACCGTGGCAAGTGGCTCGTTGTATTAGATACGTCGCATGATGAATCGCGGTGACGGTCTGGTGCAGCGGCGACGCGTGGTCAACAGTAACAATGGCGGCGGCGGCGGTTCTTGCGGACTGGGTCAGGACGGCTCGTGCACGGACCTCGGCACCGGTCACGGTAATGACAAGCTGTCCGGCCAGAACTGTGCAGATGGGGACTGCTCCTCCTCGCAAAAGGATCTCAATTGCAATCCTACTGTTGACGAGGACGACGACAAGGAGACACGCCTGACGCTCATGGAGGAGGTTCTATTGCTTGGTTTAAAGGACAAGGAGGTTTGCTGATATTACAGAAACAAAACAAGCAACATGCGACACATTGGCTGGGCATACACATGAGTGTGTCTCTTGGCAGATTTCCTCAGCGTATTGAATCTGAAAGCTTCATTAGCTTCAGTCTTGCGAATCCAACTTTCTCTGATATAAGTTTGTTGATTGATAACTTAAGCCTTAAGATGTGGAAAATTGAGAAGAATTTGGCTAGAATGGAGCAAATCTATTCCAAATAATGCTCTTGTGTATGTCCAGTTATTTGGAGCCAATGTCAATGCCTTTCTTTGACTTGTAGGGCTATACATCCTTTTGGAATGATTGTATAAGTTCTGGGTTAAGAGGATGTATCTTAGCAGAGCTCGGTTTCCGGGGTAGAGTGGAATTAGAAAAAGCAGGTATGCGTAAGAAGAATTTGTTGGCCAGAAAGCTTGTCTTGAAGAATGATGCACCCACAGGAGATGTATTGTTGGATGAAGCTTTGAAACATTTAAAAGATACAGATCCGCCTGAAACAGTGCCCAGTTGGATAGAGTATCTCAGTGGTTAGTTCCTTTGTATATATTGGTACATGTATAAAAGAAATATTTCAGAAATGAATTATTGTGAATAATATTCTATTTCTAACATTTCAAAACATATTTTGAGCAATTTTGGTTTTTGCATGACTAAATTGCTTGAAATGATTTTTGACATAGAAAATCAAATGCCTATCTTGAGCTATTTTGTGTAATTGCAGGAGAAACATGGAATCCCTTAAAATTAAAATATCAACTAAAAAATGTCAGAGAACGTCTAGCAAAAAATCTTGTTGAGAAGGGTGTCTTAACAACAGAGAAACAGAATTTCTTATTATTTGATATGACAACTCATCCTCTCACTGATAATCTTGCCAAAAGTCGTCTTGTGAAAAAGGTAAATTGTCCATTTCTTCAATTTTGCACATATACTTTAGTTATTTGTAATGCACACTGGTATGGCATCTATGAGATATCAGCATGTATATCCAAGATGTTTAGTATACACATTAGGTGATTGTTATAGTGGAAATATCCTAAATAGCATAACATATTGCAGCATTACCTTAAATGCATCCATAATGATCAGAGAGTACCCTAAAGAGATATTAGAACATCTCATACCAAGATATGTCAGAGTAATCTAGAATGAGCTCAGGATATCTTATGTATGAGATATTATGTACAATTATTTAACAAAAATCATTTAATATGATAATATGTTTATAGAATATTATGCAGATTGATTACTCTCATACAATAAAGTTCCAAGTTTATAATTTTGGTTATACATATTATTTGTTTACTTTTGTGTAAACATTTATTTTGCCAAGTGTTTTGGTAATTCCTGAATTATTAATTAAGTTGATAGTTGGAATTTTTGTGTCTCACAACTAGAATAATTATTTTAATGTATAACATGTTGCATTTCAATGATTTTGCTACAATAAGTAAATATGGGTCAATTAATTCTCAAATATTATGATGCCTTGATGTAGGCATTATATATGTATATAACTTATAAAAGAATTATCTTATCTTTATATACACTCTGTACTGCCTATATTGATTAGAGAATGTGTAGGATTGAAATGATAATAGAATAAACCGAATTTGCTGTATAATATAATATAATAGCTCAATATGCATGATTTTATTATTTATTATCTTTTCTTACCATTTTATGTGCTTTTTTAAATAAATTTACTATGAATAACTTGTTTTATTTGAAACAACTTTGAGAAAAGATAATACAATTTATAAAGAAATTTTTAATTTAGAGGTTGCGTGTTCACTTGTACGAAGATATCTAATATATTTATGTTAAAAACATAAAAAATTCTTCTGAAAATAATGATTTAAAGCATGATATGACATATGTATTATCAAGTTTTATTGGCTAAATCGAGTTAACACATTTGACGAAAATAAAAATAAAGAAAAGGTGTTATGGAAACAGATCCAAAAATATTTTTTATGAAATTATAAAGAAAACGCAAATTGAAGTGGTTTAATAATAATCTACTTAATTTCTAAAACTAAATTAAGAATAACAGCAATAACACTTTGTTGCTTCTTGTTTTTCTAGATTCAAGAAGCTGTGCTAGGCCGCTGGGTGAATGACGCTGGTCGTATGGATAGACGAACATTAGCGTTAGTTATTTTAGCTCACGCAGCCGATGTATTGGAAAATGCATTTGCGCCCTTATCGGACGACGATTATGAAGTGGCTATGAGAAGAGTACGGACGTTATTGGATCTTGATTTCGAAGCGGAAGCCACTAAACGTAACGCGAATCCGGTACTTTGGGCTGTGTTCGCTGCATTCACCAAGTAACATTCATTTCTTAAGTTACGCAGATACTGAATAAACGTCGGTTAACTAGTGTGAATAATGAGAAATCACGAATTTCGCATGTCTTTTAGTTTCTACAGTATGGGTAGATACGATATGTACTTGACGTTGCGGTACTTCCGTATCATTGTTATAGAGAAAGATTTATGCAGACCAAATAATCTGTAACCGCCATAGGGAATTTCTTAGGGGATTACTTGTTTCCATTATTGTTATTTAATACATTTGATAGCCAAATATATGAAACAATCGTTCATATTTAAATATTGTGGAACATTATGGAAGAAAAAAAAACAGGTCTAGAAATATGAATGTATGTTTCGTGTGCGCTGAGTAGCCACCATCTCATATTCAAGAAAAGGAATAACTGCATCGTGAATTTTATGCTAATACTTATTTTTTGCTTGGTATCCATTGCGTTTACAAATGGATACTATACGGGGTGCCTCAAAACGGATGCTGGATGGTCGATTGTTGTTAAAGGAATTTGGAATATGTTTTTAGCCATAGTCGAATATATCACATAGAATATGTATATACATATATATATTTCTTTAAATATTAATTTTTAATATATATAATGTATACATGCTTATTTTATCTGTATCCATTTAATCGTTTTGGTTAAATAGTCTTTTAATTTCTAGGTTTAATTAATGTTAACATATTAACTATTAAAATTTCTCTATAAGTGAGACTTGTAGTTATTTTTAGAACTATGTATTACTTCATTTCATTCAGTATGCGGATAAACGCTAATAGATGAAGTTTTGCACATGGCGTTTACGTTGACATCAGATGAAGTGCCACATTCCTGGTGATTATTTGAACATTATGAAACCTTTAAGCAATCCTTGAAACGTTATTATTTCGTTTTATATATATCATAATCTTGTTGCGACGTCTTCTGATATGCGGGAGAATTATATCTATAGTATTACCATGTGACAATGGAGTACTCGAACTTGATTCTATCAGTAAACTTATTCGTCGCAGTGGTCTAGTTGAATTAATTAGATGTAAACTGCTACAGGATGTTTTATTGGAAGAAAAATGCATTGTAAGATACTATATATGTTTTATGATATATAGGATTGTTTAGTTTGGAAGGACACATATTGTGATTGTGTGATCTTTCAAGCTGAACAATTTAGTGAAATATTTTGTTGTATATTTAAGAATAATAGAGACCTTTTAAATGGTAAAGATATATGGACCACGCTGTATAATACATCGTAAAAGACCTATCGTTTTTTACAATGATGATAGGTTCCTGTTTTTCAACATTTCAAATTCCAGTTACTAACTTGCTTTCTATTGTACATATTATGTGATCGTTAAACTCATTTCAAAATAATGGGTATAAAAATATAAATATAAAAATATAATCCTTCTTAAGAAAATAATTGAAAATGAACAGAAATTACTGGAGAAGTTGTGCTTAAAAGATTAAGAATATTTCCTTTCCTCTATAAGAATAAAAACTTTATAATTTATACTCTAATAAAATAATTTTATTTTTGATGTAAGTCTAACGACACAGAATGTCTGAAAGTTATTAGCTTAAATGAACAGAAAGGAGTAACATTTTTTTTTTATATTTAAGATCAATCTTGATAAAATAATAAAGATAAAAAATAAAACCTTGTGCGAAATTTATATAATGATAAATTTTATATCTTCTCTAACAATAAAATTTCAATTAAACTTACATCTTATTCAGGAGATTACTATTATTATTAAATTATAGTGAGATTATAATGATGATGGCTTAGTCACTTAATTAATATAGATGATGTATCTTACACATGAATCGTTTATAAACGTTGCGAATTTACAGCTTTATACATTATGGAAATATATTACTTTATCTAAAAACTTGTGGAATATTCAGCATAGTTTGAGTTTATTGGAAATTTATAACAATTATTATTATTATATCATCATCTCATCATCATCATTATTGTATTATTGTATTCCTTTTATTATAAGCATTATGTTACAATCATTATGTTATTATTTCTACATGGACGATTTTGCAAATATACTGAAATATAAACTTCTATATTGTCTTTCACAAGATTCTCCAAAGAATTGACAGATTCTGTAGCATGAGAGTACTATTTTGCCACTTGGTAAAACATGTATTTCTTTGAAATGATGCTAATGGTTTTGGGAAATTGTTAGATTGAATACGCAACACAGAATACATGTTTTATATAATAACGATAATAGGTATTTACAACTTACGCTATCGTGAGTATCATCTATTAAAAACAAAAAAATCTTTTTCAAATTCTCTACTGTAACCATAAATGTCATTATTCATAATTGACGTTTTGCAATGAGGGGAACATATCCTTGTATTTGGAAGCGTTTATCGTAAAAATTCCTTTTTTTTTTTAAATAAAGAACTCCAATTATATGACGATATCTTTGATCATTGGATTATCAATTTAAGAGATTGGTCTACCAATCATGACATTTGCCCGACGCAAATAAATGCATGCAGTTTAAAATTTATTTCTGCTGGTTTTATGTGTGAGAAATTATACGCAAAAAGTATACAAAGCGTCGAACTTTATTAATGACAAATCATTTAAATCAAAATAGACATATAGAAAATTTAACTTTGTACATTTGATTATTATGTAAATATAGTATTATACTCTTTTTACAGGAGCTTGCTTTATAATTTTTGTGCACGTACATATGTAATATATCGCCAACTGAAATCCAATAAATGAGATAATTAAGAAACATTTTTTACTTCATACTGAGTTTTCTTTTAACTTATGCTATCTGTATAGACATAAGTTTCTTCATAATATACAATTTGATATAAAATTAAGTTATTTTATATTGTATAACACTTACGATGTATAAAGGCGTATCGTAAATTATTGTATAAGACACACGCAATCAATAGTACTTACAGATATATAAGTTATAACATAATTTCAAATAATGTAAAAGCGTATCGTTTAATTATATTGAAGATAAGACATCTCAACTTTATTCCATCTTATCACTTCCATCTTATTGTATAAAGACGTGTAAAAAAAATAGATAATTATCATGTTTATGTACTAACGAGTTATGAATATTTGATAAGATTATCCTCTTGTGTCGTTTTATCATTATGTTGCATAATTTAAAGAAATCACAGGCCAATAGACTGACAGTACACATTGATCACAATTGGAAACATACATATTACAAGATAGTTCAATGTTTGCTTGTAAACGAATATTAGGAAATAATAGTCATAAGTTTAGACTTTATTTATGTGTGTATGTGTGTGTGTATATATATATATATACATACATACACATATATTTATGAAATGTAACAGAGATTACAAGTGATACATATATATATATATATATATATACAGATGATATATGGCACGGGAGAAATTACATTCACATAAATTATCTTACAATACATACAAAAGTTATAATGTATGAATATCATCATTTTTACTCTTTGTACATGCAACATATCATATATAGCTTTGTGTTTGTACAATAATATATAAGTTACAACGGTTATGATAATTCATAACGTTTTTATGTCTTCTTCAAAGTATGGTTAAAATTCATTTGATGTGCTAAATTAGCAGAAACATTAGTTTGTATAACACCATATTTTCCAGTAACCATCCAATCGTCATCCTTATTAAACAACGATTCAGAGACACCGGGTTGTAATCCGACACAAACATCTGATTTCACAGTGCGCAAACTCGCGATATTTGTAGGACAAAAATTTCCCAATGCATTTGCAAATGCTGTAGTATGCTCATAATTAACATCACCTACGAGTTTCCTATAATTTAAGTCACCCTTAAATATCACTAATTTAGCATTAGACAACTTCTCGTACAATTTCGTGTCTTTCTCTTTCATTTTTGTAAAATCATACGGACTCGTCCAATATGGCTCCTCCTATTTAATAAAAATTGACTTTTAATCTAACGTATAATTTTAGGTAATTAAATGGTATTTCAGAGGATATATAAAGTTTAAATGTACCTCTAGGCTCCAGCATTCAGCATCCAAAAAATCGAAGTACATTTTAGATAAAAATTGTAGATCCGGATGTGAATGTAAATAACCCATCTGTTCCAAGATCCAGTAAAAATCATGTAACGTTGCATCGCTCACGTACCATGGATATTTCTTGACGTAGAACCTCACTTTAGTCGCAAGTTCCTTCAGAATTAAAAACGTTGCTAAACACAAGTCGGTAAAAAGTTCGTATCCTGCATTATCAAGTACTATATCAACTATAACACATTCTCTTTCAGTCTTGTCACATAAAACATTCCATACATGTTCCCAATCATTTGATATTATATTTTCTTTCAAGGATTCCAATATTTCAAATGGATTGCCAGACTGACTGGCGCTAGCTCCCCCGCTGAGAGACAGGTCGCACCTATAAATATAACATATTATTGTTTACTTGCATAAATTTTATATTTATATTTATATTTCATATTTTTAAAATAGAAATAGGAATGTTGCACATACCTATTACCCCATAAACACACATTTAGCAATTTCCGAAACGCTTCCTTCTTTTCCGTGTGCAAATCTTCATCAGGCATGTATGTGGATATAATATCTCTGATATAAGAGCCAAGAGTGCTTATGCTATCAATGGACTCGACAAAATTTGCTTGTTTTTCATCTTCAAATGGGTCGTAACGCGATAATTTCACCCTGAAATTAACAGAAAAAGGTATTTCAGCTTGCTTGATATGAATTTATATCATACTCGATACATCAAGGCTTACATTAAACTAATCTCTTGAGCTAATACACGGTACATGTAGCATTCGCAGTATAGCCATATTGTATTGAACCATGTGGGTATTTCACCTTCTATATCTGTCCTGTGTTCTAGATATTTATTCCATTCCTCTGCTTCATCGTTGGATGTATAATCGTGCAAACGCAAAGGTCTTAAAACCTTATTAGTAACTACCTCATTTTTCAATTTGCTTATAAATCCTATAAGATATTTGATTTCGTTTATGGAATCCTGCAATTTAATATATTTCTTATACATTACATAAATAACATTTATTATACATTATACATGGGTGCATGTATGTATATATGTAAAATGTAATTCATATATGATTCTGCCAGATATATATATATATATATATATCATAAAATATATAATTTCTGAAATATATTGAGGTTACCTTGCCATAAATAGTTTGTATAGATTCTTTATTACGACTAAAGTGATCAATGACTTTTGTCAAGATTACTGGCAATCTATCTTTGATTGTTACATAAGCAAAACTTCTGTAACATAAGTAACAGAGAGATTAGTTGTATATATACTCTAATTTCTAAAAATAAATCAGTAATGATAGAGTAAGAAAATTAGATTATAGTGTAACAGAACAATTATTATATCTACTTTTTATATTTTCCACACAGTTGCACACCAATAGGTGTAGATATATTCTGCACATCTTGAATTTCATTCATGGACTTTGGTTGCGTCATCTTTTGGAACTGGGTCTCAATTGTATATTGATAAAATCTGGATGATTAGCAATGATATGATTTGAAATGATGAGAATAATAAGAACAGTGAATATCTATAAACACAATATAGTTTGTAATTAATTACTTGGGCTTTGGTTCTTAGATTACATTGATTCTGTACACTTTATATATTTAAAATAGATATCATCATTTAAAGTATATTCAATGAAGCAAAATAAAGGACTCATAAAAGCAGCTAGCAGCACATATATCGCAAAGTTGCTTAAACCTTATTTTATATTTTTTAACACTCTTACAAAATATATCCTGTACTTTACACAGGAAAGCTTGATTTGCTTACGTTTCAATCGACCAGTCCTTCGCGAGTGATCAGCTGGGATATTATCATCGCAACGTGGTCAATGAACGTTGCATCAATTGATGTGATCAAATGAATGTAACTCACTACGGATAATGCTCTGTAAAGAAGAGGTTACGGGAGCACAGGTCAATTAAATCCTCTATTACCGCTCGCTACTCGACCAGTGCCAAATAGAAACGATAATTACTTATTTTCTTATATTACGTACATGTTTTTGGACACTTGTCCGAGACACTCCATGAACATATAGAGTCAAAACAGAATATTAACTCATATTTACGACGTGCGCAGCCGAAACACGTTATATAAGATGTCATTTCAAGGATATGTATAATGCGCATGCGCAATCACCGTCTACCCTCTCGTGTTGCTCCCTCTCTCTCCTCTTTAATAAATTTTGTTCGAAATTTAAGGAATAGGAGCTTTACAATTTTGAATAAAAGGTTGATTCGAATAAATTTCCGTCACGATAAACAGCTATTGAATATTCACGAGTGGCATTTTATTTATAAAGTGGAAGACTATTTGTTATATTTATATGAATCTATCCGCACAATACTCAACTCTGTACGTTTCGTTAGATGAATAATTATTAATACAATTATTGGCATCAATAAAAGTATTATTATTAAATTAAGTATTAAATTAAATTAAGTAGTTATTATTAATTAGTTATTAAGTTATAAGTTACAATAAGTTATTAAATTATTAAAGTATTATTAGTTGATTAGTTATTAAGTAGTTATTATTAATCAGTAGTTATTATTAATTAAGTAGTATTATTATTAACGCTATTGTAAAATTATTAATACCAGTTGGTGTCTTCTCCTAATTACTATCTAGTTGACAAATGACGACGGGAAACATTTTTTTCTTCATAAATTTCCGATGGCGAGAGAAAAAAAGTCGCGTCAGAATTTACTTCTCTATGAAATAATTGGTCGCAGTCACGTGCGATACAAATTCTGCAAATTTTCATCTCGCTCGAAGGTGAAGTACGTGCGATTTTGTGGCAATAGATCGTCGGCTACCTGTTCCCACGGCTAAGTTTTAGCCCAAAGAAATTTCATTAACGCGGAAAGTTTCCGACGCTACGCCTCTACGACTCACGAATCGAGTATTGTCTAACAGTTTTATTTTTTGTCCAGTTCGCTCTGTGGAGACTGAAACAACGGATAACGAGGTTTCAGGCTGCGAATATACGACATTGGCTGAGCGCCTCGTGTCATTTGAAACGCGTATTTGTTTATGTTAATATATTTCGCAAACTCAATAACGCAGCTGCCTTTTAGAGTTTAAAAGAAGAGAAAGAGGAATCGAGACCGATGATCACCTGGTCCAGGGATTGATACTTTTTTTTTTGCCATGATATGTCAAACGCATGATGAACGTTTCTCTCTCCGTGTATTATTTGTCTCTTCCTCGTCCAACTTTCTCTCTTTCTCACGCGTGTGCAATAAAAGTCGTACTCCGCTATAATCTTTCTTCCGTGAAACGAAACGCTAGAAGACGCGCGATATATACGCTAGTTTTGTTTAGTGCCGACGTCTTTGCTAGCGAGTTTATTAAAGTGTCGGGCAGCTGTAGTTGAATTATCGCCGGAGTTTCGGTAGCCGGCAAAAAGTGCGCCGAGCGCTACAGCGGGACGAAATAATTTGACCGCCTTATTCGAATCTTTTCCTCGTCCTGCCCGATATCTATGCCGTAAGTTTCGCCGAAACTACACCACCATCCCCGGAGCTAATGTACTCTCGCAACGGTCATTATGTAAATTCAAGTGTGATAGAACGGGAAGAGCCTTTACTCTTCACTGTAACACAACTGCAACTTTTTCGCAGAACCAATCGATTTATTTATAGCTAATTGGACGGATGTTTGTTAAAGCACTGCGGATGCCAGTGTCGAATATTAATACCCATCGATGACACGAGAAGCGTATCTTAAAAAAAAAATTAGGAGAGTTATAAGATGGTGATGCTGATTTGACTCTGAGCGGAGACGCTCGAAAATCGCGCGAAATCGCGCGATTGCGTTCTTTCTCGTTTTCACGTGAAAATCGTATGAGGCAGATCGTATGTGAGAGTATGGATAAAAGAATAAGGATAAAAATAATTTGAGTAGCGGCATGCTGATTTCAATAAATGTTTAAAGCGATGACCATCAAGACTGATGCATCCCCCTAGGCGCGAGGAACATTAATTTCCATAATGCGAAAGTTCGAAATTTTAAGAATGTGTAGCCGCAGAGTTTACGATTGTAATTTGCGAAGAATTAAGAAAGTTACAGGGGCCGTTACGGAGCTACACTCGTGAACGGGGAAAACACGAGTGCGTGTCGTATGTTTGAACAGATTCTGGTAAACATCTGGCTTGTTTTTGCGCGCGTTCTTACCTGAGTTTTCGAAACTGTGCTGTACATTGTATACGCACACACAGCAAAACACTCGGCGGGAATCCCGTTAAAGGAGTTTTGGTAACTTATCGTGTGGTCACTTGGCAACAAAATGAAACTCAGATTCGTCCGGAAAAATGAGGGCAGCGATTTGTATCCTCATGGACGTCCCGCAAACGAGGAGAACTCATGTACTCGTATCGTCCGCTAGACGCAGATTCCTCACACACCGGCGATGGCTTGAAAAAAAAACTCTCGACAAATTCAGCCACTCCTCGCAGCTTGATAAAAGCATTCCAGTCACGCTCTGTCTCATTTAGGAAGACTGATCGAGAGAAATTCTTTCATAACGACGTTTCGGCGGTCACGCGTGAAATGGCGATAAAAATTTTAATAGCACCATACGACAATTTGCATCGAATTAATTGCGCTCCCGCTTGAAATTTATGGAAATTTTTGCTTACGTCGCTGCTGGCGGCTTTAACGATGTTTCATATTCTTTGTCGTTACGCGTCATCGAGAATGCAAGACCTTTTTCCGATCGAAAACACTTTTTCGCATCTGTGTCAGACGCGATTGGATATATGTACCAAATTTCACGTCGCTCTTAGTTGGAAAAAGGTTGTCCTCGTTTCGGGTCGTCTTTGATACATTTTTACGTGAGTTTAACCAATATAAAAATTCGGTTGGACGTTACGGACGTGAGCCGAACGTCCGTAACATCGCAAAGTCTCCTCTCGTTAGTCTCCGGCCGCAAGCAGGATAGTACCGAGCAGAGGATCCGTTGAGGCTGAAACCAATACTAATGAGCAATAGCCGTCAGTTAGGACAGAGATCAGCGGATAATTAGCGTCGCTAATAAGTGGGCGGCGTCGAATTATCCGGTGGGGGACAATTTTTACGCGGGCCTCGCGAAATTTCACGACCTCGGCGCCCGGCGTCCTCCGGGCCCGGCGGCATCCGCGGCATTTTTCATCGCTGCGGGGAGTTTCGAGTTTCGACGCGGCCGATCATTAAACGTCGCAGCAGCACAACGGGCAAGATAATATCGCCGCTGTGCGTTCTATTCCTTCGAATGAAATCTGCGGCGGCGGATTCGCCGGCCTCCATACTCCCCCCTCCCCGCCCCCGCCCGCGCCCCTCCGCCAGCCCCGCCGTTCCCTCGCCGGCCCTTCCCTGAACCTCCCATCTACGAGATCTGAGAGCAATGTTGCTAATTACTACATACCACCGAATGCGGCATAACCCGCGACCCATGAATTCCACTGCGCTGTAGCCGGCGGTGTACAGTCGCAAGAGTCAGTTTTCATCCGTGTAATTTGTGGAAATTGCGGTTTCCTATGAGCGCGAAGCGAACTGATAATGCACTACCGAATGAATGTCAACTAGGTGTGTTCGCGCGTGTGCGTGTGGTGTGTGTGTGTGCGTGCGCGCGCGCGTGTGCGTGTGTATGCAGAGCACTTACATTTCCTGATATGTACGTACACGTGACGTGGCGAGCGCTAATTTTTAAGTCATCAGATGCGTGATACGCTTGAAAGTTCAAGCGGGGCGCAAGGACGATCTCCGAAAGATTAGCCGCGACCGATCGTCGTCGAGAAACGGCGCGCCTTCTTCCTCCGTGGAGGAATGCGGAAAGTGCGGGGTATAAAAGTGAGAGTGAGAAAGGAACAAGTACCGTCGCGACGGCTCCTTCTACTCCCGTAAGAATCGGCGTTCGTAGATTCTCAGCCTCCTCAGCGAGGATACATAAAAAAAGAAAAAGGAAAAAAATGGTGTTTCTTCTCAACGCCGCGCGCTAGACGGACGATGATAAAAATGCCGTCTCTCTATCTCCCTCCCCTCGCGTTGTCCTTTTTCCTTTTTTAATAACGCCCAACATCGTCATGGTTTTACGAGGCTTCGCGCGACGTTGATTAACATGATGAGGGGCAGCATGGGAAGCGTCATTGTAGGACGAGGTCGTAAATACGCGGACCACATGGCCGGCGCTACTTCTTAAAATGAAGAAAACCTGCGACGTGGACGGCGATACGTGCGGGGATATCGGTCAGTAAAAACTTTTCTCCGCGCGGTCTTTTCCCGTACTCGTGAAGCTAAAGCACAGTACTAATCCACATTAACGTATAATGTGTTGGCGCGTAGCAATATTAAATATTACCGTTAAATCCTTCCGATCGCACAAGCGCTGACGTGGAGTAAGTCCGGGGTAGATGGATATAGAGGATAGATGGTCAACTGCTATAATTTTGTTAGTATAAACGTCAGCGCTGATCGGTCAGTTGTGAGTTGGATGTATGCCACGAGTAGGTGTGTTTCTTCCTGATGCACAAGAACACTGTTATTGTGAATAAATAAGTGTGATTCATGTTTCTATTAACCTCCAAAATGTTTCACACATTGGAAAAATACCTTGCGAATACGGTTTATTTCGAGTCACAACATTAGACCTAGGCTTAAGGGAACTGGAGGGTCAGATTGCTGAAAAATCGTGCTTGTTTTTGATCATATTTTGTAACGAAATGAATAAATGTGCAAGAATGAAAATTTTAGGTATAGTTATACAACATATGAAGAGAAGAAAAATTTTGTTTATTAACAAATACTCATATAAATATACGATATATATATAGCTGAAATATACTCTCCTTTTTTTTTCAAGTTGTCGTTTTTGCAGTAATATCTCGGTTCTCGGTGGTCCGATCAGAGCGAATTTTAGCTAGAAATCTTGATGAGGCTTATCATTATCCGGTGAACCACTAGAAAAAAAATCGAACAAAATTAATAAAATGGCAGCTATTATTAGGACAAAATTCAAATTTTTCAGTTATTTTGCAATAAAAAAATTAATACCTCGAAATGAATTATTTTGACGGAGTTGTCCATGGTTCACCTGAAAGCCACATGAACAACTATCATTGCTTTAAAATTTCAAATTGATACGAAGCTCAGTTTCGGAGAAATCCCTGCAAAAAGTTGAACAATAAATTTTCGAGAGAAACGCGTTTAAAATTTAAGTGGACGTATATTTAAATAAGTATTTGTTTAAAAATAAAATTTTTCTACTCTTCATATGTTATATAAACATATGTAAAACTTTCATTCTTGCACATTTATTCAGTTCGTCACCAAATCATTATCAAAAACAAGCACGATTTTTCAATAATCTGACCCTCCAGTCCCCTTAAACGACTAAAAAAATATCGTATTTGCGTGCTTAGCCTGAAAATTCGTCACCGAGACTACGTTCCACGCGGTGTACGCATCTTTACGCGAACTCTTCATACAGGATAAATAGTTCATTTTTATCAGGATTAGATGAGCAGCCTGCTCAGCGAAAAATAGCAAGCAATGGACATCGGATCGATGTTTTTTAGATGCTTTAGACGTATAAAAGACGTCGATCCGATATCTATTCGATTATCATTTTTTTCTCTGGGTATCTAAGATTAAAAACTTCAGTACATTTTGAACAGCTTCTCGTTTCGTTTAAAGATGCCGAATAGATTTCTTTCTCTTTTCTCTCTTTAATAAACAATGTCTTCCTATAGGGCTTTTTCTATGTTGTTTCCTGTGTTACTTTTCAACCTCCTTTCTAATGTTATCCTTGGTTTCTATAAGAAACTTGCGGAAATGTTTTATTTTACTAATAATTAATAAAAGGATTGATAAAAAGGTTAATAATTAATAAAAGGATGTAAGATATTAATGCAAAAATTTAATGCAAAAGGATGTAAAATATTAATGTAAAAAAATGAATAAAGATAAACAAATTTCTATATCATTATAGGCGTGCCCAATTATCCCTTTATATATGACCGACCTAATCCGAGCACCTGACCATCTATTCTCTCTCTTCACAGGATATTTTTAATATTTCGTTATTATTGGCATCCCATGAATTTTTTTCACGAACATCTTTCTGTATCTTAAACATTATCCTCTACTGAGTGTCTTAATATGTTGTTGATTATTTATTGCAATAATACAGATTTGTCATTCCCGATTAAAAAATACTATGCTCATCTATCCCAGACTCTCTCTCTCTCTCTCTCTCTCTCTCTCTCTTACCTTGTATAAAATACTGCGTTGTGGATGAGTGGTACTCGGGAAGAAATCTCCACTGAAGTTCCGCCGATCGATTTTAATGTAAAGTAGATTCACGCGGTTCAATAAAGGAGAAAAGAAACATCGCAGCGCAATCTGCGCGAAAAAACACCTTCGTTAAGCGAAGGACTTCATGGCCAGAATTAGAATTAGGTTAGGTGGGTGCACTTTTATTGTCGCGAGATCCCGGCGATGCATCTCGTTCGAGCCGACTGTTGTGTCCTCCTGCGTTCTTCCGCGTATTCCAAAAGGGGTATAATTTAAAGAAGTTTATCGCGCAGCGAACTAACGCGGCAGAGAGAGTAGCAGCCAAACGAAAACCTAGTTTGAATGTAAGAATATGTAAATGATAGGAGCTGCTAGGTGAGTTCATTATAACCGGTAGCGGCGCGACCACAAAATTGTTCGCCGGCGAACTTCTGTGAATGGCAGTTAATTATAATTAATTCCTTATTGTCTACTCGACGGCTCGTGCTAATTCCTCGCTGCCGACGAATCGCGCATGCGACGCTACCGCGGAGTTTCAGTTAGCACTCTCTTGTGCGGACAAATTATTATGAATGTTCAATTAAGTCGCGCATTTTGAAGTCAAGCTCCGCGCGTCGGTCTTTTCGCTGGAATTTTGCGTTTCTCTTTCCGGTAACTTCTTGGCGAACGCTCTATTTAGCTCTATTCAGTTCACAGTTTTACAAGAGGCACTCCGAAAGAGCCTCTGAGAAAGAAAACCCCGAAGAAAGCACGCGTGTTCCTCCGCTTTAAAGGGAGAAGACACGTGTAGTTAAAGCAGGAAGCTGCTGGCTGCGGCCTCTCCTGCGGCCCCTCAGGACGTTCCTTCGTCGCGAATATTTTGCGACGATTCGATCGCGCGGCGCTAAAAGTCTAGGAAAATGCGCAGGACGAAGTTTTCGAGTGCAGGCGGCCGGAATTCCGCGCGGCGAGTTCGCACTTTCTCGCCAAGATAACGTCGTCCCCTTCTGCTCTCGTGGCCTGTTGATCGCGCGATCGAATCGATTTTCTCCGGCGTAATTGCAGCCGAGCGACTGTTTGGCGGTCACTGACGGGCGCGATCAATTCGACACCGTGGGATTCATACCCGGCGGAGTGCGGTACAAGCGGAGCCAGGACTCGATGTAAGTGCCCCGGCGCTCTGTGTCCGCAATTAGAACGATTTCGCGAGTTTAATTCCGCAGAATTAGGAGCGCGGAACTGCTTCTTCCCGTCCGGGCAACTCTCGGAAATTTCAAGAGTTTATCTCGAAGGAGCGAGGGAGGGATTACAGAAGAAAGAGAGGGATAATAGAAGAGGACGGGGCCGACACGGAAAGAAAAGGGAAAAAGGGAGAGACGAGGTTGGGTCCTTGGAATAGCTGAAGCCAGGAGCCGTTCCAGCCGGCGGCGACGGCGGCGAGTTCCCCAGTGACAATCTCAAAAATGCAGACTACAATCGCTCTAATTCCGCATTTATACAGAAACTTGCGGACCGCGCAGCTGCGCGGTTTCGACACTTTGCCAACATCGTTTCTCGATTTCCCGCTCGTGCGCATCCTCGTGCTCGGCGCGGCGCGGCGCGGCGGCGCCTCGCTCCTCGCGGCCTCCGCCGAAAGTGCCTCATCGTGACAATCGGATTATCGCGGCCGGCGACGAGAAACACAGTTTGCGACCGACGCGTACATTCCGCGCGGTGTTATCGACGCGCGGCCCTTTGATAACAGCAGCCGGCGGAATTCAAGCTCGACGAGAGCTGATATCAGCTCACGCAACGGCCAAAAAGATTTAGCCTTAATGGAAGTCGGCGGTGTGTGAGTCGCGCGAGAACGGAAATGCGCGGCGTATAGGCCCGACGAATCGCCGACGACGACGACGGCGGCGGCGGCGGCGGCGGCGGCGGCGGTGGGTGCGAAATAATAGGGTAATTGTTATGCCGCGGCACGGTAGGCGGAGGATCTGAGCCCCGAGTCCTCGATAAGACACGACTGCGGGCATACTTAACGAACTTAACTTTCCGCGATCGCACGTATGGGCATCTAGTTTTCAACGGCACGATATCGCATATAATGAGGAAACGTAACGAAACGCGCCGTCGCGTCGGTCTTTTCGCAGATAACGCGGTAACGTTCGCAACATAAACGGCCGGTTAAAAAGATTACGGAAACTTACGAGGCGAAGCCCCGCACAGTGTTCTCGCTCCCGCAGCTTCGTCAAACGTAAAACAAGTTGTCTCTACATAGCGAGAATGACGATTCTCCTTTACGGCCATGTAGACTGTCAGCGTTTTCAATCGTAATCGCCATTTACGCGTAACAATGTGTTTTTCCCACGTAGCGTTCTAGTCGTCGCGCGTTCACAGTAATCACCATTAGTACATATTGATCGTCAGCGGGCACTTTGGATCTTCGTGCGTCGCGGTCCTCGCCGATGTCAAGTGAACGAATTTCTCCAGCGGGCACAGCAAATCGCAGCCCTGAATGCTCACCGCCTTCATGACCGGCGGTACGCCGACGTAATGCACCACCTGCAAAATATATATGCTGCTTATTACGCTCGCTAATTAGTTGATCGCGTCAGCGGCCTCGCAAGCAGCCGCATGCAATCGCGCGGGAGACTCGAGATTGACGTGCCGTGTTACGGCAACTTTGCGCTTACTTTGACGAAATATTGGTCGTTCATTTCGTGCAATTCTATAATGACGCCGCTCGTGAACGTCGGCATTCCGTGCGAAATACCCAGAGCGCGGAGCACGGCGACCACGTTTACGTCGTGTGCGGAGAAGAGATTGATCTTCCTGTCTGGCAAGCTCCCGTTGATCACTCCGAGCATATCTTCGATCATTCGATGCAGTAACAGTCCTAGGAAGAATTTATTATGTTTCGTAATATTCGCTCGTGCAACTGCTTTATTTTTCTTTTCTTTAACCCTTTAACGCCCGACTCTTTTTTATAAGTGTTTTAAGAATAAAATTTGAGTTTTTCTCAACTGAGACTATAAATAGTGATGACAAAAAAAAAATTAGAATTTTATATCTGCGAAACTACCTTCTGAATAAATGAATAAATGAAGTTTCGTTTGTTGGTTTAGTTTGGTTTTTTATATCGTTCGTTTTTTGTTTATTAAATATGACTTGGATCCTAAAAGCATATACGAAATGAACAACCTATACAGAGAAAAATGAAGGGTAATCTATGCGACATAACTCTGATAGTCAGCTTGACATTTTCGTTGAGTTGAAACTTTACTATATTTGTGAATATGAATGAAATTTATCATTCAGAGCGTCAAGCTTACTATTTCAGAAGAATATCTTATAGATCACCATTTACATAGTCAATCGTCCCTTCATTTTTCGCCGCATAAAAAGCACTGTAGGTCATCAGGTTTCACGAAAATAGGTTGATTTCTTGATTTTCGTGTCCACCATATTGGATTCGCCATTTTGAATTTCTGTATTCTTTTAATTTCACATTTTGCATCTGAGAAAGCTTCCAAATGTATAAAATTATAACAGATACCAATCTATTCATTTATAGTCACTTCTAGATGTCAGTAACAATGCTAACTATGCCTACTTGGAATTTGACAAAACATGTTATCATTAAAACTGAGCTAAAAACAGACTAAATCGAATCTACATACCTACATCTAAGTACCATTGTTTAGAAGAAGAATTCACCTTTACAGTGGTGCAAAGAAAACGAAAATATCTCCTTTTTTGACTAAGTTATGGATCCTTAAATACATTTCTGGTGACTATAGTTACCAGTAGGCGTTAAAGGGTTAACTGGATAATTCCAGTAAAATTTGTACGCTCTTGCTTGAAACTTGCCTCCATTGAGCCTGATGAGCTGATCGTTGTAGTTGTACAACCTATATTGCAACATGGCCGCAGAGAAAAGTCTGCCGTTCGGAAAGATCGACCGTGACCAGTCGGGTAAACTCAGGTTCATCGCGACTTGTATAGAGAGTATGTGGTACAGCGTGTAGAGATCGTAAAGTCCAGTGATATTCCTCCCCACAGGTCTTGACAATTGTTTCATTAAATCGTCGAACTTGGCAATTTGCTTCACCACTTCCTCGCTCTTTAGTACCTTGATGTAAGCTTGACTGTATCTGTCAAGAAAGAAATTCAGAACGAAATTCTCGCGATGTCTCAAAGTGTTCGCAGCATTCAAGTGACGGTCCTGCTGCAAGCCGCGATAAGATTTATAAGATGGTGTCTGAGTCTAAGCGCACGATAGGGAGCAAATTTTATATCAAGTGACAGAAAATGCAAATAAATTTGTGCTAAAGCTTATTAGTCAAAATAGCGGAGAAATCGCGCGGAATGTACTTGGCTTATCGCTGCCGGCTCTTGGAAGAAAGCACTGATCACTTACTCTTTGCAGACGGTTGGAAACAGCAGACCATCTTCAGATATACGGGTGTATATTGTGTCACTTGGCTGCCAAGTCAGCGTTTTACTCCATATTTGCTTATCAATGGGCGGGTAAAGTGCCGTGAGCACCAATTGCAAGGTCATTTTGGTCCTGGCGAGCGCCGTGCTACGCGCGTGCACGTTTGGTGGATAATACACGTCGCCGAGGAAGTGATTGTAAATTTTCCTCAACAACTGGCCAAATTGAAACGCCCTTTTCTTGCCAGTCTTCGTATCAATGATAAAGACGATAAATTAGAAGAAGTTGCGTAAAATTGTTTTCTTGAAGAAAAGGGAAGATTCGAAGGTAAAGGGGTAACGTTTCTCACGAAGAAATTGAAGGACGAGAAGAATGTCAGTCTTATCGTTAACACAGACGTGTTTATCTGCTTTGTCCTTGATGAAAATATGAAACTATAATGCGATGTATTGAACGGTAACGACGGTGCGAAAGTGTGAAAAATAATTTTGTATAGTCTGATTTAATTATCGAACGTAAATTTGTTTTCCAAAATACCAGTTTGAGAAGGTTAAAATATTAATATGAACTGAGAGACAATTTGGTGCAGAAACAAAAAGGGAAGGCCGATAGAAACATATCACGTTTCTCTTGCTAAAGAACATTTTAACAGCCCATCTTATCATTTCTATTTTTTCAATTGAATATCGTATTCTTTTCTTTTTTTTTTTTTGATAATTTTGGTGTCCGTTGATTGTCGAAAAACAACACAAAGTAAAACAAATTGACATTTGTAAAAAAAAACCTAACCATCTTGTGAAGAAACGTTAATCTGTAATTTCGATTTATATTTACACCAACGCGTTCTTCATATTCATTTTTGCACCATTTTTACCGTCGTTTCATGTATAAATTATATATTAAAGTTAAATTCAACTTTATAGAAATTATTTCTCTAAATGCACGGCATACTCTCAGCAGCTAATATTTTGCGATATAAAAATACGAATAATCTGACGCGATATAATCCGTAATATATAAATCGAGCATTACATTAGTTAACAAGCCGTTGTTGTTTGGAAAGTCATCGTCATCTCCATATGAGTTAAGTGGATATACCATTTTTGCTTCCCCGTCCAACGTCCGGTCGCCATGTCTGAATACCTGAATATTTCAATACAATATCTCGCGTGTCCTCGAGACAGGATCTAGTTTTATTTGCAAAATTGTAGTTTTATCTCACCAAGCTGATGAATCGTAATTTCGTTTTTTTACACTCTTTTGCACCGTGTTCAGAAAGAGATATAGGTTGTTTTGCGAATACAATGTAACAAGATATCAATAGAATAAAATAAATTTGAATATTTGCCATTTTTCAAGTTGGTTATTGGCGGATTTATATATTTCCTAACGACGATTCTATATAAAGAAAATTAATGAGAACAATTATATATATAATATAAATTCTGCTAAATTGTTAATAATATGCGGAGTCAAATTTCAATAAAATAAGAATACGAACGCAAACGTCGAAAGAGGACAGATGTCAAGGCTAAAATAAACTGAACGTTACAACGGCAGAATGTGACTTTTATTTGGAGACACATAGAGATGTGTCACGAATAGACTAGAAAAATATTTAGAAAATGTCAATATATACATACGCAAGGGACAACAAACAAAGATGATGGTAGAGATAGCACAAGGAAAAAAAATGAGAAAGATAAAAATTCGAATAAGATATGAAGAAAAGGAGGAAATGAAACAAAATATACACACAAGTGATTATATGATTAATTTTAATTTTATAATCCTCTCGATCTTCTGCGACTATTTGTGTTTATCTTTTTGCATTATCCTATTGCAATTTTTAGCTTTAATACGCAACTATTGGAGAAAATATATCAAAAGGAAGAATTTAATAAAACTTTTCAGATTGAGTAATAGATTTCAACAAAAGAACATAGTCCAATAGCAAAGATTGCACTGCATAAATGCAATGTGTAACTTTTGATCGAAACAATCGAACATTATAATAGAACCCGACGAGGCTTTTATTTGAAAACATATAAATGGAAATACAAATGGTCTAGAAAAATAAAAGAAATGTAAATACAAAAGATAACGGTAGAAATTGAAGTAGCGCAATACAGAAATAGAAATTGGAATAATATTATAAAGTAAGCTGAGAGGATAGAGAGAGAGAGAGAGAGAGAGAGAGAGAGAGAGAGACAGAGAGACAGAGAGACAGAGAGACAGAGAGACAGAGAGACAGAGAGACAGAGAGACAGAGAGACAGAGAGACAGAGAGACAGAGAGACAGAGAGACAGAGAGACAGAGAGACAGAGAGACAGAGAGACAGAGAGACAGAGAGACAGAGAGACAGAGAGACAGAGAGACAGAGAGACAGAGAGACAGAGAGACAGAGAGACAGAGAGAGAGATAGATAGATAGATAGATAGTTTATTCACACCCTGGGGAAACAACCCTTTAGGTTTTATTAGGAATACAAGTATACGCCGACGGTGTTGTAAGACCATTGATCGTACGAAACATTAAAGAATACACTATCAAAGTATAGAGTAAAGTAACGCAAAATAACTCAGAGTAACGCAGAGCCTCCACAATAATGAACACCTGACCCCACCACGACTATAATAATATTAGATATACAGAATAGATATTCAGATATGTTGATATGGATGCATATAAACATATATATATATATAGATACACATTGATATATAGATACAGGGTATACGTATAGATATAATAGATATAAAAGTAAAAATATAGATATAAAGTTAGTACAAACATTTCCAACGTAGCGCAAAAGTCAATACAACGCAGGGGCACATGAGACTAGCGTATGCAGGAGGCTGCATACGCCGTTGTCTCCGCCTCAAGAAGGAAACCATGTAGTCTGCTTCTGAATGCTGGCAACGACGTTGAAGAGACAATTTCGTCAGGCAGAGAGTTCCAAAAACGGGCCGCCTGCACCATAAAGGATCGCTTATATATTTCCGTGCGACATTTAGGCACAAGGAGTCTGCCGCCTACAGCCCTCGTCTCCCTGGCCCTCAGAGGAGGCACAGAGAAGTAATCACATAAGTACGTTAGATAGAACCTTGTGATAGAAAAATAGAGAACAACAAACAGCTGATATGGTAGAGTCTCCGATTCTCCACAGAGAGCCAGTTTAGTCCCAACCGGGACGGAGTCACGTGGTCACGGCGCCTCAGATTTTTTATAAAAACGTGTACACGAATTCAAGAAGCGCTGTAATCTTGTATTCAATACACCCGGAAGATCACAAAAAACAGCTGAACAGTAATCTAAATGAGCCAAAACAAGTGCAGAAACCAGTCGTTGCCGCATACGTTCATTAAAAAGCTCACGATGCAACTTAAGTTGATAGAGGCAAACGTTGACCTTTGCACATATTTTATTAACATGTTCAGTCCATGACAGATTTTCTGACAGAGGATCAGACCCAGCGACTTAACGGAATACTCAAAAGGAATGACGGAAGTATCTCAATGGATACCACCAACACTATTCAGGTCTAACTGCCTGATATATTGTCCACTCGCTATACAAATAATGTTCATAATAGAGAAAGAGAGAGAGAGAGAGAGAGAGAGAGAGAGAGAGAGAGAGAGAGCGAGAGAGAGAGAGAGAGAGAAAGAGAGGCAAATGGAAGAGTAAATAACCGATTATGAGATTTTTTCCAACTTGTCGATTTTTCCGATTTATTCTACAACATTTCATATTATCCGATTATTATTATTATTTGCGTGTCATTTGCGTATTATTCATTATCCGAACATGTTCACATTATCCGATTGTAATATTTGACCGAAATGTACAAGCTTTAAAAAAGATGTATCAAAGGAAATAATTTATTATTAATTCATATCATGAATAATATATTTACGACAAATTATTTGAAGTTAATTTATTTTATTTAGCTAATTTAACTTGTTACAATTAAATGACTAGTGAAAAAACTTTGGTTAAATTCAAATGGATAAAAAATTGCTAATTAAAGAATTCGAGTTTTATTTGGAGATATTTTTTATTGCAGAAGAAATGTAAAACTGAGAAATATAGAAGTTATATGGAGATAGAACGAGGAAGTATAGAGAAAGTGCTATATAAAAAGCGGGAAAGATGGGTGGCGAGTGTCATTACGCGCATGAAGAATAAAGTAGGTCATTGTGCGACGTGTCGTGTTTTCAAGGAATATTTGGAACATTCAGGAAACGGTCAGTGAATTTTCAGGAATCAGTTAATTTTATTTACCCATGATGTAATTTTATATGTAGGCATCAGGCATATGTTAAGCATTTGAAAACGTGATATCAATTTTTATAGGCATGTCCTAATTCGGAAATTAATAATTAAACTACAATTTAAAATATAAGCCAGTCATTTTGAATATCTCTTGTAAAATCAAGCAGACGCAATTTCTTAGGAAATAAAATTTGCTGTAACTTGATAACAAGATCAAATCGAATATTTGTTTGTAAAAACTTTGATTGTATTGCTTCTAAAGATAAAATCCATTTCAAAAGCGCTTCTCACTATAAAGTTTCATATTGTACACATGTTGTCCTTTTTTTTATTTGCGTATTTATTTTATATCAATTTTACATAAGTCTTATAATATTTTTGCATTTTTCGAGATTTGTCCAAAGCAATATTAAAATAAATCTTGCACATTTCCATGATATCGAGAATAATAAGTTACTAATTCTAAAAAGGTTTTTATTTGGATATAGACTTCAGAAAGTCGATATTACGTTAAAATTTATTATATTATGTATTAGTAATAATATCAGACTCTAGCGGACATGACGGATCCACTTGGTTATTTGTAGTAAACGGTAATCTCAACCTGACAAATTCGTCGAATGGGCATAACACACTGCAGCCTGGGATGTTCACTTCTACTGTTTCAACTGGATCACCTAAATGTTGTAATATCTGTAAATGGAAAACCCGTTGTTACTGTTAATTTTATCGCGTTATTTTAGATGGACGAATTGGACAGAACATTACGTATAACATTAGTAATTGATTCAAGACTGAGCCGCGTCAGAATAATGGTAAACTTACTTTGATAAAATATTTATTCCCCTTTTCGTGCAATTCTATGATAACGCCGCTTGAAAATTGCGGGAAAGTGTTGTCATATACGCCTAGAGCTTGAAGCAGAGCTACCAAGTTTATGTCGTGCACGGCAAAGAGATTGAACTTTCTCTCTCTTAACATCTCATTAATCACTTCACTCATGTCTCTGATTATTCTATATAATAATGGACCTGGAAATGATTACACACGTGTACCCCGTGAAGATTCAATAATCAGCTGGAATAGTTATTCAGTTATTCGTTCCGTGAATTTCCAGCGATTCTGATTCATTCAAGTTTTAGTAATCGGCATAATCGGATGATTATTTTCGTTAATCTTTAGTAATTAGATATTTCGTAAGATATGTATACTGTTTGGTTTTCAGACTTGCCTCCATTAAGTCTAATGAGCTCTTTGTTGTAGCTGAACACATTATAAGCGAAAATAGTCGCATTATACAGGGCGCCGAACGGAAATATATTTTGCGTCCACCCTGGTAAAGGTAAGCCCAATGCCTGCTGCGTAGCAAAAGTGTGATACAAAGTAAAGTAGTCCCTCGGGCTGCTAATATTTTTTCCTGTATAATTTGTCAACTTTTTACTCAAATCGTCAAATTGTTTCAGTTGCTCTATCACTTCCGGACTTTTTTCGACTTCTGCCAGCTTTCGTCGATATCTATCAAAACGGATAAAAAGCAGAAGAATAAGATGATTCAAGAGAATAAATAAAGCGGAAATATAAGTTTTCGGTAAAGATAAGCTTGATGTGAAAAATCGGTGCGTCACACCTATGTGACGCTGATAGCGAGCATGATAAATTTCGGGAATTACTTTTATGTAATATCACGCAATTTATAGAAAATCTTCATTAAGACACTCGAGAAAAGCAAGTACTAATGGAAGAGAATTACTTACGTAGGACATAAGAACGATCCCAGTAGACCATCATTGTAGATGAATGTGTATAGAAAATTTATCGGTTGCCAATGCAGACTTGGGTGCCATTTTTGACGATATGCCGGAGGATAAAGACCCGCCATGATCAATTGCAGTGTCATCTTACTCCTCGAGAGTGACGTGCTACGTGCGTAGATATTTGGTTGGTAATAATACTCCCCGAGAAGATTATTATATCTTCTTCGCAGTATTTTCCCTAATTCGTAGGATCTCTTCTTGCCAGCCTTTAGAATTGTATCGACAGTAAGGATCAGGAGGAAATTAACAGCTTAGTCGCATGAAATGCGACTAAGCTGTTAATTACTCTCATGAGAAAATGACGTGATTCGATAATGAAGTAGAAAACGTTGCCGACGTTAACGCGGGATAAGTAGCGGAGCGAAGAGCGATGTACACACACTTTGCTATGTAAGCATTAATCTCTACTCGTCTCAAACTCCTTTGAATGTCTTTTTAATCTAGTAACTGCGCGATGCGCGCGCTATACCCAACGATCTTTATGGTGAAAGGATCAACAATACGATGCAATGCGGTTACGTTGTAATATCTAAGTCGGGTCTTACGTTAATCAGTTGACCGTCATCCTGTGGATAGTTATCCATATTCTTGTATGGGTCATTTGGATATGATTCCTTGAATCTCATATCTAATGTCCGTTCGGCGTGTCGGAATACCTAAATATTTCAATATGATGTCTTGCGTATCCTCGAAATGAAAGAATCTAGTTTCATTTGCAGAATTATAGTTTCATCTCACCAAGCTGACGAATCGTAATTTCGTTTTTCTTCCATAACCTCCTGCTTCGTTGTATTTAGAGTTAAACCCAGTTTCTTGGTTTGCGAGTACATTGGAAAAAAATATCAGTAAAATAAAATAGCACGCGTAATTTTGAATCTTCGCCATTTCTCAAGTTGGTTATTGGCGGATTTATATATTTTCTAATTATAATCCTATCTAAAGAAAAATAATTAGGTTAATCATGATAAATTTTGTTAAATTGCTAATAACGCGCTATGACTTGAATAAAATAAGAGCACGAAGTCAAATGTCGAATGCGAGAGTAAACGTTAAGGCTAAAATAAACGTCTCAACTGAACGTTACGACGGAAGAATATAACTTTTATTTAGAGGCACATGGAGACTGGAAGGATATTCAAAAAATGTAAATATACGAAGAACAACGCGCAAAAACGATGGTAGAGATAGAACAGGGAAAAGTACGAGAACGGTAGAGATTGGAATAAGATTTGAAGAAAAGGTGGAAATGAGACAAAGTACATACACAAGTAATTATATGATTAATTTTTATTTTACAATCCTCTTGATCTGCCTTGCGACTGTTTGCGTTTGTCCTTTTGCATTATTCTATTTTTCGCTTCAATACGCAACTATTGGTGAAAATATATCAAGAACAAGAATTTAATGAAACTTTTCAGATAGAGTAATAGATTTCGACAAAACGACATGGTCAAATAGCAAATTTTGCAGTGCATAAATGCAATGTGTAACTTTTGATCGAAAGAATCGAACGAAACTCGATGAGATTTTTATTTGAAAACATATTGAAATATAAATAGCCTAGAAAGCTAAAAGAAATGTAAATACAGGAGATAACGGTAGAGATTGAAGTAATACAATGAAGAAAAAGAGAAAGAGTAGGAATTGGAATAATATTATGAGGTAAGTTAAGAGAACAGAGAGAGAGAGAGAGAGAGAGAGAGGGAGAGAGAGAGAGAGAGAGAGAGAGAGAGAGAGAGAGAGAGAGAGAGCGAGAGAGCGAGAGAGCGAGAGAGCGAGAGAGCGAGAGAGCGAGAGAGCGAGAGAGCGAGAGAGCGAGAGAGCGAGAGAGCGAGAGAGCGAGAGAGCGAGAGAGCGAGAGAGCGAGAGAGCGAGAGAGCGAGAGAGCGAGAGAGCGAGAGAGCGAGAGAGCGAGAGAGCGAGAGAGCGAGAGAGCGAGAGAGCGAGAGAGCGAGAGAGAGAGAGAGAGAGAGAGAGAGAGAGAGAGGCAAATGGAAGAGTACATAACCAATTATGAGATTCTTTCCAACTTGTCGATTCTTTCGATTTATTCTACGACATTTATGTTTACATTATCCGATTGTAATATTTTGCCGAAATGTATAAACTTTAAGAAAGATGTATCAAGGGAAATAATTTGTAATTAATTCATATCGTGAACAATAGGTTTACGGTCAAATTATTTGAAACTAATTAATTTTATTTAGCTAATTTAGCATATTACAGCTAAACAACATATCGAAACTTTGGTCAAATTGAAATGAACAAAATTGCCTGTTTTATAAGGAATTCGGATTTTATTTGGGGACATAATGTAGAAGAAACGTAAATATGAAAGATACAGAAGTCAGATGGAGATAGAACGACAGAACGATGAGGAGGTAAAGAGAAAGTGCAGTATGAAAAGTGGAAAAGATGGGTGACGGGTGTCATTACGCGAACGAAGGGTAAAGTAGGTCACTGCGCGACGTGTCGTGTTTTCAAGGTACATATTTGGAATATTTAAGAATTGGTCAGCGGATTTTTAGAAATAAGTTAATGTTATGTACATATGACGTAACCTGATATGTAGACAATACATTAGGTATATGTTTAACATTTAAAAACGAGAACAATTGTTTTCATAGACATGTCCAGTTTGATCTTGCGCCTTATGGCAAGTTCTTTTGCATTCTAACATACTAATTAATAGCTGAGATAATTCAGAAATTAACAAGTAATATATCTTATTTCATTTAACTGCTTGTCATTAGGATCTCCAGTATATCTCGATATGTTGATACGGAAAGAAATAAGATTTTTTTTCACTTGCAAGTTTATTATTACATAGATAATTTTATAAAAAACGTATAATATTTCCAGATTTTTTCATGCGTCGAAAAATTAAATACTAAATATTAAATTAAATATTAATTATTAATTAAATATTTAATTAAATATTAAAGTAAATTTTGTCACACACACGTGTAATAATAACGATAATAAATTGCCAATTTTTAGAAATTTGAATTTAGGTATAGTCTTTAAATCAATGTTACATTAAGATGTATTATAACAAATAGTTAACATCAAGAATAATATTATTATTAGACTCTAGCGGACATAACTTATCGATTTGGCCCTCTGCAGTTACCGATGATCTCAATTTGACGAATTGTTCGTACGGGCATAACACGTCGCAGCCTGGAATTTTCACTTCTTTCATTTCAGCCGGAATGCCAAGATGATGTAATACCTGTAGATGCAAAATGCCTTATCTTTATTGTTAATCAGTTTAGTAGTCAACATCATTAATCGAGTATCAACATTAGTAATTGAGGGAGATTCAGGATTGATTCGAGCCACGTTAGAATGATGTCAAACTTACCCGAACAAAATACTTCTTGTTCTTTTCGTGCAATTCTATGATAATGCCGCTTGAAAAATGCGGAAAAGTGTTATCGTATATGCCTAGAGCTTGAAGCAGGGCTATCACATTTATGTCGTGTGCGGCGAAGAGATCGAGCTTTCTCTCTGCTAAAGTTCCATTGATCACTCCGTTCATGTCTTGAATTATTTTGTATAACAAGACGCCTGGAAAACATTATACGCGTACTCCGTGAGGATTCAATAATCAGATGTATAACATTCGCAAATATTCGTAGTATTGGATTAAACACTGATAGACGCAATCAGGCAGAATAGATATAATTTCGTAAAATTTGTATGCTGTTGGTTTCTAAACTTGCCTCCATTGAGTTTAGTGAGTTCTTCGTTGTAGCTGAGTAAATTATAAACGAAAATTGTCGCATCTAACAAGCTGCCATTTGGAAAGAAATTTTGTGTCCACTCTGGTAAGGATAAATTCAAATAATGCTGCGTATACAATGTATGATATATAGTAAAGAAGTGTAGTACGTTGGTAATATTGAACCCTGTGTACTTAATCAATCTTTCTTTCACGTCATCAAATTGCGCCGCTTGCTCTATCACTTCCGGAGTTTTTCTAATTTCTGTCAGCTTCTCTTGGTATCTACCAAAACGGATAAAGAGAAGATCAAGATGATTCAAAGGAATAATGTGAATAGAGAAATAATAATTATGACATAATTCGTGACAAAATGTCAGCACATGGGTGCTGATAGAAGAGAATTACTTACGTGGGGCAGACTAGCGAACCCAGCAAACCGTCACCGTTGGCAGGTAAGAATTCAAAATCCACTGGTTGCCAAGACAGATTCGGCATCCACCTTTGAACAAGTTTCGGAGGATAAAGACCCGCCATGATCAATTGCAGCGTCATCTTGGCCCTCGCGAATCCTGTGCTACGTGCGTAGATATTCGGTTGGTAATAATAGTCCCCGAGAAAATCATTGTATCTTCTTCGCAGTATTTTCCCTAATTCGTAGGATCTCTTCTTGCCAGCCTTTAGAATGATGTCGATAGTAAAGATAAGGAGGGACGCAGAACGCGACTAAGCTGTTAATTGCTCTCATGACGAAAAGATGACGTGATTCGATAATGAAGTATTAATGTTAACGCGGGGTAAGTCGGTAATAGACGATGTATGCACGCTTTGTTATGAAAGCATTAATTTCTAAGTCTTCGACTCCTGCGAGTGTCTTTTTAATTTGGTAAATTCACGATGCGCGCGCTACATCCAACGATTTTGTGCTGGTGAAGGAAGTACGATGGCTACGTTGCGATATGCAATTCGGGTCTTACGTTAGTCAGCTGACCGTCGCCAGTTGGATAGTTCTCTAAATCCTTGTATGGATCATTCGGGTACGTCTCCCCATGTACCAAGTCCAATGTCCGATCGCCGTGCCTGAATAACTGAATGTTTCGATGCTATGTGAATTTCGGAGCTCCTCGATAAGACGTGCTTTTATTTGTGTAATGCGGGTTTTCGTATCTCACCATGCTAATAAACCGTAGTTTCGTGGTATCTCTTCCGTGTTGTTTAGAGTAATGAGCTGCCAATTCCGAGGACATGGCGGAACATGATAATAGCACGACGCTTAGGTAACGATACAGTTTTGCCATCCTTGAGAAATTTAAACAAATCCGGTCAATTTTTTCTTCTACTCCCACAATTTACAGAATGTGCGTTTTGCACGCGAAAGGAAAAAGAAAAAACAATCGATTGTAAGAAAAAAAAAATTTCTGTAGTAAGTTTCTAATCGATCGGAATTATTTTCAGCTGTCGATCGTTGATTTTTAATACAAAATATTTTTTCAATTGCAATAACAGAGATACTTTTTTGAATTTTTACCTCGTTTCTATCAAGCTACATGAACGGGAATCTTTGTTTCCTTCTGTGAGATGATGCGATCTTTTCAATGATTTTTTTTTACGATAATCTAACGTTATTTTTATAGCAAAATTCAGAGTCATCTGTCACTCTATCATAGCAAGCATATTTCAATTACTATTTTATCAATTTCGACTGCGGTAATGCCTTTAACGCATTACGCGGTGGAGATATCAGATTGAAAATCGTTGAAGCCGAGAGAAAGTGAAAAATCATTAAATTTTTAATTTCGCGGAGACAAGTTACCAAATAATGATAAATAATAATAATAAACAAGTTACCCAATAATGACAAAACAGCTTTATCTGTCGCATGTGATACACTGTGTCCTTAATAATTGTTTCAGCTTTACGTACTTGCGACGTTAGATATCTGCATTCGCAACGATCTAGACGTTGGTGATCCCTTCGACTTCTTCGTAGACTTTTTCTGGATCGAGATGCTTGCTGCGCCACAGTTTTTCACAGCTGATGAATTCCCGAGTGTCTCCCGAGGTCTACGCGTGTACTTATTTAACTTGGTCGCGACCGATTGACTGGCACGAGGAGATATCGCCTCCTATTTTTTAAAGTTGCGGCCGCGCCCCTCTTTCCCACTCCTTCTATTTGTCACAGTAGTACTTCTAATTTTATCCTGCTGCATAACAAGACGCCTGAGACCTCTGCAAATATGAATTTAACTGCAGATAATAGAGTGTGGTTGATTAAGTTAAAGTCCAATTTATTAGCTGAACGCTAATCACCAAATCATAATCTATTTTATCGTAAAACGATGCAGTCAATTTTCATTCGCGCGCATTTTGTGCATTTACAACTATTCTACTAACTATTGTTTTTCACGTTGACGTCCTGAGCTATTCGAAATGAGTTTAAAGAAGCAGTTTATAAAACGTGGAGATATATCAGATCGAAAATTGAAATATTGCGGTAAATTGCGGTAATCACTATCGACATTTTGGTAATGAAATCTTCTGCTCCAATTAAGTTGCGAATTATGTCGTCATGTATTAAGTATTGTGCGATAATTTCGAGACACCTTGTGTATGTGACGTGCGTATAAGTGCTTTCATAAATCAATTAACATCGCGAACAGTTGCATATACACCTTGAATCATGATTATTATACACCTGTACAAACTCGTACCGTGAGATGCACGTGAACATAAATTTTTAACAATTTGCCATCCAATTTTGCAGCCATCCATTGACATTATAGACGTCGGCATCTCACAATTTGCCGAAACATAAACACGTAAAATGTCGCGTCTCATTTCACTGCGGCACTCAAGTTGAAAAAGACGTCAAGTTACTATCACGCTGCAGAATATTATTTGCTATAAAAAGTAAATAAAATTAAATTGTCGTTGGATGAAAGTCACATCGAACTGCTTTTGGCAACAACTTTATACTCCCAAACTGGATTATTTTCCTAGTTACGAGCAATTTTCGCTTTGAAAGTGAGTACGTCCACTTTTCAGAACTCTCCGCGCTTTATCGGGGACTTGATACGATACCTCTCTCGCACATTCGTTCGCAGGAAACAAAGCTGACGACTCGTTTGGTTGATCGAAAGTTCGATTTCTCTGAAGAGATATTCTCCTAGTTGCCTAGTTGCTCCTGTGTTGCAAATTAGATGTAAGGAGGTCAAGCAACTGATTTACTCCCGTAACTTTACTTTGCACGATAAATTTAATTTGAAAATTGTTTGATAATTCGGTAATAGATATTAAAGCGAAACTATGACGTAACTAACTCCCATGTTGTATTGTATTACTCGAGTGCAAAAATCGCTTCTTACTCAAATCTCTCGTCGTGTAATCAATCTTCAACAATATTTCTCGATACTCCTCTACAAGTTTGCATGCAATTTTTATTCAGCGAGAAATCCTTAAAGGGCATTACGCTTGGCGATTTCTCACTTCCGATGCGTCGCATCTCTTGGTCATTAGTTGCCGAGCCCTAAATCGGGCTCCGCCTGTGTATGCGTCTGCGTCAGACGAGGAAAAATAATGTTTTACCCATCTACATAGCTTCGACAGGTGAATTTGCGCCAGAGTTGCCCAACTGCAATAACTGAAAGACAGTCGCTCGAGAGGATTTATAGCCGCAAAACAGCATCGCGTCTAATAGCGGTACTCCGGTATTAGGTTACCGATATTCATCTGTATTTTACCTCTTAACACGTACCTACCATTCTCATTAGCACGTTCGTTTTCACCAGACGTCTTTCGCACTGCTCGATCTATCGACAAAAATAATACAGGAGCGAGTCGAGCAACATCGCAATTAACGCGAACGCGAGCTGCCGTGAAATCACGATCAGCGATCGGCTGCTTTCCCCGACGTCGTGTAATTTCGCCAAGAAAGTTTATATCAGCGCTTTATATCATTTATCGTCAAGGTAAGGAGATCACCGCTTCGCGCGGCGCGACGCGGCTCGACGCGAGGCGTTGCGACGCGGATCGAGGGTAAGTAATTAAAATGGAATTCGACCGCATCGTAGTCGCCCTCGTAGCGGGCGACCGACTACGACGTGCGTAGAACCGTCCGCCGCTCGAATGAGAGCTGCGATTACAATTCCAGAATGCCGCCACCGAACACAGATCGAAAACCCGTTATATTCGCGCGCGCGCGCGCGAGCGGGTCAACTGCCAGCCCGAGCTAGCCCCGTTTGCTCCTCCGCTTCTGCAGTTTCCTGGCATCATCCCCTACCTCTCTTATCCCAATATCCGTGCCTCCCTTTCCTCCACTCTCCCTTCGCCCTCTCTCTCTCTCTCTCTCGCGCTTTCTCTCGCGTTCGCTCGTTCACGTCCCTCCCGCCCTCCCGCGTCGTCAGCTACGGCACTGGAATTCGAATTGTAATTTCTAACCGCGCGACTACGCACGAGCCATTACCTTGCCGTTTGAAATTCGTAAACGGATTGCGAATTCCCGGACTTCCGCGCGGCTCGCACTAAGAATCCATCGCCGGGGCTGCTGTGCCGAATATGCGTGATACGTGCCGGCGCGCCCCGGAGGACCGAGGGCGAGTTCTTCGCTCGCCGGCTCGCCTCGCGTCATATTTCGAGTTGCATCCACGTGGTATTCTCTCGTGGCATCGTACTCTCGAATCGCGCCCCCGAACCGAACGTCCCCGCGGGGGTGCAGAGTTTTCGAGACCGCGAATGCATTCGTCCTCGTCGCCGATGTCGCACTCTCAGTCGAACTCTCAGTCGATGTGGCCTCATCATTTTCTACCACTCGAGTTGTTACCAGCGGCGACATTTTACACGCACGTGCACGATAGAATAATTATGCGACTTAGCAGATTACGTAAGATGTTACTTTGCAGACACAAGAGAGTGTTGGAGAGAGGATTTAGGACTCGGGAGCGCATAACGTACTCATCAGCTGACATACTTTATTTACTTGCTTGTATCATGTAGAAAGAATTTAATTGAAACTATTCGACAAATCATTTCGGTTGGACTGGTGGATTTTTTTGTCTCAGCAACACGCTCGTTCTTGGTTCTCTACGTGATATATGTAACGCGCGGCATAATTTGATCTGCATGTAAATAAAGAGTTATATAATTTTATTGCGGTAAGACTCGCGGCTTGCACTCGCGGCACTTGGACGTAACGCGTATGCGTCCTTTTGCAGCTTATACGATTCGGGCTTATCAGTTTGCTGATTTTACAGCTTTAACGGTATTGCGCTGGCAATGTCAGCTCGCACAGTGGTAATGGTATATCTATAGCATGTTGCTAACGCGTTCCGTGACGTGGGAATCACCGACGATCCTTGTCGAGTTTATCCCTCTTTATAAAGCTGACGCTACGTAGCACATATACATGTGTTTTGATACTTGCAAGGCGGGGAAGATCGTTATTATCTCGTCGGGAGATTACGCGAAACATTTCTAAAATAAAACTAAGAAAAAGAGCGCTTTTATCTTGATGATAACTTGGATGCATAATTACGTGAAAACGCATTAAAGATGACAATAATCCGGCCTGCGTAATTTTTGTCTTTTTTCGCTAAGCGTGTCGATTTTTCATATCCCACGTAGAGATAAATTACTCTTGCGGAACGGATATCAAATTAAACTTGCTCCGTACAACAATAGCAACGAAAGTGCAAGAAAGGTTTAAACATTTATAACGGATTTATCTGTTTGTTAGTGACAGTTGAGCGAGCAATTTGTCAACGACACAGTTTAACGCGATAAAAATTAAATCGGCCGCAACCGCGCTAATCACAAGATAAACCTTTATTTAAACGACAAACGCGGCCAAATAAAAGTGCGAAATAATTGCATGTTTGCGGAGGCCAATTTTAAACAAACCTGTACACACACATAAATTTATATGTACAAATTTATAATACCGAAAGTCAGCTTTTCCTCCCACAAGGTTAATCTTTCGATATATTTTTTATCCGGGAGAAACATTTGACAGGAATATGAAAAAAACAAACTCGAAAACTGCGCAATTCTCCCCCCTATTCGCGCGAAAATATTTAAGGGGGGAATTACATGTGAAAGGCCATTTTCAAGGCTATTTTTACGAATTTTTTGGACAGAATTGTTTGGTAAGATCAATGGACTTGAAATTTTCACAATGTATTCATTAATGTTTAAAGTATAAAATATTTCATTGAATCACAAGAACCGATCCAATTTGTAATTATAGATAAAAATGCAGTCATCCGTTTGCGAGCTCTATGTTTGCTGTCAACATAATTCCAGGCTTCTCACTACTCTGAAATCAAAAACTGAGAAAGATTTTTAAAATATACGATTGCCATTATAGCCCGTATTAAAATGAAGGCAGTGAAGCCAAGTTTGGAAAAATAATGTGACTGTACAAAAAAAAGTATCGAAAATGAAACCTTTCTCAGCTTGTAATCATGTTTCAGGAAAATGAATAAAATAAAATATAACTGTGTTTGAAATAGGGGCGCGAAAACTATACGTCTATTGTATATTGTGTATAAAAATTTCAAGTTATTCGGTTCAGTAGTTTTTGTGTAATCGTGTCGACAGTTTAAGAAAACGGTGCTTCCAAATATACGCGTTTAAGGTTTTATGTGTATACTTTCTATATAGATAGTAACAAATTTATTTTATTTATAGATAGTAACAAATTTATTTTATAGTTTGAACATTAACGAACATACTGTGTGAAAATTTCAAGTCCATTGATCCTGCCGTTTCTGTTAAAAACAAATTCGTAAAAATAGCCTTAAAAACGGCCTGCTCCGCATGTAATTCCCCCCTTAATCTATATTTCCTGATTGCTATTTCCCCCTTTCTTCCTCACCACGAGACACCACCTCTGTCCATCGGTCACGCTGCAATTTACTATAGACTCGTATATTACCACCTCGTATTTAATAAAGGTGAGGCTTTCTAATTAAAATCTTGCGGTTTTTCTTGTATACTTACCCGCATCGTGAATATCTTCCGGCGAATCCCTCGGGAGAATAAAGAACACTTCGACAATGCGGCCGAACGAAAGAGAGGAGAGGTCATTGAAAGAAAGAGAGGCTCGCGAATGAATGGTCGCGACGAGAATCTGGTCTGGCGAGGCGGTCGCGTTTATCACGGAGCACATTATAAAGTAACGTAAAAGAGACCAACCAATGGCGCGGGGTGAGT